TCTGTTCAAATTATGGGTTCTTAATGAAAAATACATATTGGGAAATAATGTGGCATGACTGGTCAATATTTTTCTTTCTATGAATCAGATCTATTAACTGAAGTTTGTTAGCCCTATACAAACTTTAATCATCAAATAAACTGAGGAAGAGAGAGACTGGTCCTTCAAATTCAATGTACAGAACTCCAATTTCCTGCCTTGAGAAGAATCCAATTGTGTGTCAAGAAAGATGGAGACTATTTCAAGATTACTCAATGCAAGAAAAAGGTTAATAAAATTCCTATTTTAAAAGAAAGGTACTTCCAGTCTATACCCTTTGTGAACCATTATGAACAAATTCCTGAAACATGTCAGTTAACTTACTTTTGATAATATGCAAACCTTCAAGTTAAATTTGACCTCTCAAAAATAAAGCTACTACTTTTCTTCTAGTCATTTAAGAATTCCTATTAGGCAATGACTTTTGTGGTAGAGAAGTAGTAAAACATTTAATATAAGAATGTCTTACAATCGAACTCTAGAGCAGAAAGTAAATAACATATACAAGTAATAATGAAAAAATATTTCTGCCAAGACCAACAATATACACTGGACTAAGACAGGTTAATGGTTTCTTTATAAAAAATAAATACAAACAAATACTAAATTCTTATATTTACTATATATACCGAGGAGAAAAAGGTAGCTAAAAGTACTACTAATTTTATACACATGTTCTAGAAAAGGATTTCAACTAAATTTTCCTAAATTTTTTAATCAACTAAATCTAATTAGGCATCTGAACTATAAATATGAAGGCCACCACAAAAAAGTGGGGTTGAAAATTAAAGATAATTTTAATTTTGCATAAAACGAAGTCTTACAAATCAAAGCTGGATTTAGAAAACCCACAACTCTCCAATTTGCTTAAATCCCCAATAGCGTTTTAAGTAGCAGAGAAGAAACAATGGTATTCTATAAATATTCTGTCAACATTCAAAACCTTGATGTTTCTAAGTATTTTACAGCAATTCAAATAACCTAATGAAAGTTAAACTTCTGAATATATACTTAAATATAAAATGTAAATTGTCAAAACTATAGTCAATGAGTGCAAACATTTATTTAAAAGGATGACATTCATAAAATAAACAATACAAAGGTGACATTTACAGAATAAACAAATTTCTGAAATGAGGGGAAATATCTATGTAGACTGCAACACGACCACTTTATGTGTGCATTAACTATAATAGAGTTTAAGATAAGAGCAATGTTCCTCAGATATCCTTGACTATTCTGGAAGTGACAACTTCAAGTCTACAGCCTACCTCAAGCGCTCTAAGTATCACCCTTAGCCATTTACATTTCAGGCATACAGAACGTGTAACTCCTCTGTAATTTCAAGCTTTCTTCTGTTTTCAGTTCTCAGCTCGTGTTACCCATGTGTGGCCTTGATCAGCCTCCCAACCCACACACTGCGAGCCTAAACTCTTACTCAATTTTCAAAACTCAGCTTAGATATAGGTAGACTTTGATCTCTTTTCTGCAAATCTGGGTTAGCTATTTATTGGCCACTGTTCCCACCTGTCCTGCATAACTCCATCGAAGTATCTGTCATGTTGCAGTGAATTACCTGTTTGCTCGCCACTTCCCCCACTTCCCACTTGACTCTACGGTTGCTTCTTTACCCTTTGAGCCCAAATTTTCTAGCCTATAGTAGATGCAGAAAAGAAACATCTGGAAAAAAAGACAGAACTGAGGAAATTCTGGAAACCACTGTGGCTACTAGGGATCATGTAGTTCAACAAATATTTGAGTGCCTACATGGGCTTAAAGGATGCACAACTAAAAGATACAGGAGTTGTATGAGTATGAGTTGTATGAGTAAACAAATGAATATATTCTCATGCATTACATAAAATAATCTAAGAATGGACCTGGAAATTAGACTTCACTTTTCCTTCAATTTCACTCTTGCATATAAAATTAAAATTCCATAAACTGCATTTTATCTGAATTACAACCTATCTATCCTCTGACTTGACTACAATGCATGCTTCTGAAATGTTTAGTGGCTTATATGTGACTGGTAAAAAAGAATAATATCAGAAAACCAAAGAGGTCATATTGGTTCATTGGGATTTTTTCCGAGCTATTTTAATATTTTGTGTCACAAGTTATCAACAGCTGAATATAAAGTATGTTAATAGCTAATATTTGCTGTTATTTTTATTTTAAGATTTTATAGAACAAGAGGTTTTTCCAGGAATACATTATTTCTACAACAGAAATGACTGTACATTCACCTTTGATTAGCCATATTAAATTTATTAATTAAGATATATATTTATTAAATGAGCTACTTTTTTTAAAGGTTAGCAATGAAGGAGAAAAAAAGGCAACTAACAAGTTACTGATGATGACTATTATCTAAAGTATTGTGTTAAAGGTTCTGAATACTTTGTAATTTAAAATCAGTAAATGGTAAGGTAGATAATATAAAATAATTCACAATGAATTTTAATGTAATGTGATCAAATTTATGGCCAGTGTGATAAGATCAAAACATTATTTTTATCATAGCCCTCTCTACCTTAAGAACCTATTTATGAGCTTTCACAGACTAACCAATATCTTCATGAATATAAAAGCAGAATTTTTTTTTAAAGTTTTATTATCTTTGAGAGAAAGATAGAGGCAGAGAGAGAGGGAGAGTCCCAAGCAGACTCCACACTGAGCCCAACATGGGGCTTAATCTTACTAACCATGAGATCCTGACCTAAGCCTCAATCAAGAGTTGGAACATTCAACTGACTGACCACCCATACGGCCCTGAAAGCAGAAATTCTTAGCATAATTTTAGCAAATGAAATCTAGCAATACATAAAATTAATAATACATATGACCAAGTCAAGGTTATACCAGCAACACGAGGCTGGTTTAATGTTAAAAAATAGTCACAGAATTCACTTATTAATAAAAAACAACAACCCTCCATTATCTCAGTAGATAAATAAAACTCTGACAAAACCCAAAATCCATTATGATAAGAATTCTCAGCAAACTAGGAACAGAAGGGATAAGAATTGAAACTCTACAACTAAAAAATTCAATACCTCAAATAAATGTAACCCAAGAAAGGTAGCATTAAGTCTTTTTAGTTTCTCAAATTTTTTACTAGTAATGTATAGTGCTTACAGTTATTGTATCATAATTTTAAAAAGTTTGAAACAGAAATATGAACGGAACGTAAAAATGCAGTCTATGATGGAAATGTATCATCTATTGACTTTGTGTGTGGTTTTGAATTTCCTTGTATTTAAAGTGTGAAGGCAAGTTAATTTATTTACTTAAAAAAGTGCCTGACAACCTACTAATAGTTAAAACACTGATAATGTGAAGTCGGAAGAAAACCAAAAACAGTCTCAATCCTCAAGGAGCAATCTAGAGCAAAGAGCTCAGGCTCTAAGAACCTCCTCTAATGATGCAGTTGTATAACTATTCATTTAATGCAATTAGCCCAAAAGAGTCCATGTGTATATTGGCACAGTACAGATAACACATTTCTCAAAATTTCAACAACCCTACTATCATTATAGTATATGAGCTTTACTCGACTATATTTTTACCTAATTTCTAAAAACTGCGCATGTTGAAATATAAATATTTCTAGTAAAATATAAAATGTGACAACTGGAATTTCTATACTTTTTTGTTGTTATTCTAAAATATCTGTGGGGTAGTTCTTATTTCTGAATCACTTAATATTTTTACATGCTTATAAAAAAAAGGATCAAAACACTGGAGAATGGTGCAACTAAAGAATATCCAGTAAAACTTAGAAGTGATCTTTCTTTAGATCCCCAAAATGTGGAAATCACAAGTTCAAGAGTCAGACACTACAAAATATTTCACAAAATGTTCTGTCATTTTAAAAGATACGAAGAACTTACTAATGGATTAAAAAAGAGGGAGAGAATCCGTTTCTCTCCCTATGAGATAACATGGGAGCAAATGTAGCCAGCAGTTCAGAACATGGACCCTGGGGTTAGAAAGAAATGGGTTTAAGTCCAAGGTTTATTACCTTCTAAGATACAGGACTTTAGTTAGACTAGTTAACTGTTTCATCTATAGGACATCTATAAACTATCACAAGGTGATTGTGTAGACTAAGAAAATTACTGTTAGTCATATAAACTGATACAATTCTTTAGAAAGGCATTTTGCCAACATTCCTGAAATGTATTCTTATGGACTATTGAATGAGGGAGGGAAAAAGTTAACAGATTCTATAAGCTTGGGAAACTCTGATTTATTGCAGGGCTTCTTAGTCTTTAATATGTACATGTACACTGTGAGTTTCCAAAAGGGTAATATAATACTTAGGAATAATAAAACTTATTTGACCATGGTAGGCCGTTTTTACTAAGTACCTCAAGGGACTAGTGTGTTCCACTGAAATCAAATTTTGGAAACTGTAAACTAGGTACAATGAAGAGCCGTAAAAGTGTTCACACCCTCTTGATCCAGTAGATCAACCTCACAGCATTTTTAAAGTAAATATTTGAAAGCCAATAAGAAGACACTTTGTGCACTTTCACAACAGCAAAAGTCAGACAGAACCTCAGTATCCAATGACGGAGTAATAAACAATAACATACCACTGTTAAAAATTGTACCTCTAAGTGCTAGAATGAAGACTGCAGTCCCAAGGAAACTTTTGTTGAAAGATAGAATCCAATTTTCTCTGTGTGTCAGAATTATAACAATATCAAAATGTGTGTATATGGACAAAGACTCCCAAGAACAGTGGAAAATGAAACAAGTTAATGTTCCAGATAGTGGAACTGGGGTAATCCTTTTATTTAGTTTCTTTAACTTTTATGGTACTGTGTATACATGAGATAAAAAGTGGTATCTATAAAGAAAGAATAAAGGTAAGACCCTTGACTAAAACTATTTTAATAAGGCTCTATTCCTATTAAGTTTCCTGGTAATCAATGATATGTTAATTACAGGACCATTCAAAGACTGTCAGCATGCAAAAGAAGCTGGACATTCAGTCAGTGGGATTTATATGATTAAACCTGAACACAGCAATGGACCACTACAGTTATGGTGTGAGAACAGTTTGGATCCTGGGGGTTGGACTGTTATTCAGAAAAGAACAGATGGCTCCGTCAACTTCTTCCGAAACTGGGAAAATTATAAGGTAAATCAGTGATTCAGACCTGGGAGAGAGGTGAAACAAAGCAGCTCTTCCAATGTAGCCATTCTATGAAATAAATAAGATACACAGCTTAGAAACAACTATCCATATGTTTTTTACTATCTACCTTTGTCAAAAAGTTAACTCTCATCTCTAGTTTTAAAGTCAAAATTAAAAGGTAAAAAGGAAACTAAAGATATATTTTCAAATGTCTCCTTCCAGTCTGGATCATTTATACATGTATTTAATGCTTAGCAAAAACTATTGCTAATTGCATTTTCTTTTTCTTTTTAAATGTTTATTTTTTTGTTTTTTGAGAGAGAGAGAGAGAGAAAGAGAGAGAGAGAGAGAGAGAGAGAGAGAGGGAGAATGCAAACAGTGAAGGCACAGAGAGACAGACAGACAGATAGACAGATGGACTCCCAAGTAGGCTCCGAGCTCAGAGTGGAAGCCCAGTGTGGGGCTTGACTCCACAATGGTGGGATCATGACCTGAGCTGAAATCATGAGTCAGGTGCTTAACCAACTGAGCCACCCAGACACCACCACTACTTCCATTTCCTAAGAAGACAACTGCTTCTCTGTTTACGGTCACATTTGCCCTTATTTTTGTACTCACACTGTTTGTTTATTAACAGAAAGGGTTTGGAAACATTGATGGAGAATATTGGCTTGGACTGGAAAATATCTATATGCTTAGTAATCAAGATAATTATAAGTTGTTGATTGAATTAGAAGACTGGAGTGATAAAAAAGTCTATGCAGAATATAGCAGCTTTCGCCTGGAACCTGAAAGTGAATTCTTAAGACTACGTCTGGGGACTTACCAGGGAAATGCAGGGGACTCTATGATGTGGCATAATGGTAAGCAGTTCACCACACTGGACAGAGATAAAGATATGTATGCAGGTGAGTAAGAAACAAACAAATGTATATTCTTTGTAAAATCACTACCTTCTAGGCATTACACAGAACCCTGCTATTAAAGTATACACTACTAAAAACCTTTCCGGAAAGGTAATTTTGGAGTTAGTCACAGGGAATATAAGCTGCTGAAAGATTAGTATCTCTTCTACAAGGCAATCCCAAAGTGTGAATCAACACTGTGAAATATAAGGTTCTGTCATTCTAACATGAGGGTGGGAGGGTGGTAGGGAACAAAACAAACACTCATTTATCTGGAAATCAAATTCTCTATTGCCCGAAATTTGTAACAACTACTAACTAATCATCTACTGCATGCTAGGCACTGTTACAGATGCTAAGGATACAGCAGTGAACTAAGTTCCTGCCCTTCTAGAGCTTACTCTCTAGGAGACAAAATTCTTTGTCCGGTGGTAACAAATACTCTAAGAAAAATAAAACTGCGTGAGGGAACAGTGAGTGATAAGCAGCAGGGAGGGGTGAGTGCTATTTTATACAGAGTGGCCAAGAAAGGTTACTTTGAGGAGTAACAGTTGAATGAAGACCTGAAGGGAGTGAAGGAAGCAAGCCATTTGGCCTTTCTCAACACCCACCTGATGGGGAACAGTAGGACCTCAACAGCAAGAAGGCTCTACCCAGAGGGGAAGTTCCTATTCTGTCTGGGAGGAATCATGTAGGCCATCCAGATAACATAACTCTTCACATTCATTTTCACAAACTTTTTGCCTTTTTAACCCAGCTTTGTGGCCCTGATAAAGGAGATACCCTCGTGCAAAATCTATTTTTCTGTTCAGCTGTATCTTGGCAAGCAGCATACAGGTTTACAATGGCAAACGAGGAAAAAACAAAGAGAGATATAATCAAAGTATAGCCCATGTTTATAGAAACACATTTGGCCACCGGTAGTGGTATTCTAATTTACATTATTTTGTGTTATTTTGAGAATTCAATTTTCCCCAATTTACTTTTAGCAACTCCATACCTTTCCTTCCCAATCTCTCCCACTCTCTCTCACAAATAAACGCTGTCTGTTTTATTTACCCTGCTATGCATAAAATTAAATCCCTTAATTTAAAAAAGCATATGGAAAGCAAGCAAAGGGCAAGGTAAAAAGGCAATTCAAGTGATCTTTCAAGCAGCTGATACTTCAGCAACAGTAAAAGAATGATGAAACAAAACTCCAAAGATAAAGGTAACTGAAATCAGTAAGAAGAACTCAAATTATTCTAAAGGTAGAGTAAGTTTTTGATGGTTTGTGGAGTACCATGCTTAGAAGAAACTTTTACTTTGACATCTGTATTTTCTTCCTCAAAGGAAACTGCGCCCACTTTCATAAAGGAGGATGGTGGTACAACGCGTGTGCGCATTCTAACCTAAATGGAGTGTGGTACAGAGGAGGCCATTACAGAAGCAAATACCAAGACGGCATATTTTGGGCTGAGTACCGAGGCGGGTCGTACTCTTTGAGAGCAGTTCAGATGATGATCAAGCCTATTGACTGAAGAGAGACCGTCTCCAACTTAACAGAGAACTCTGTCCTTGTCAGTTCCTAAAAATGTAAATGTCACATGTATATTGTTTTGCCCAACTCACTGCTACAGATTCAGTTTTAAATGAATTTACCATAACTGTAAAAGGGGATTTATGACTGTAGTTTCATCTTTCTTCAATAATACTGCAGATTACGTGTACCCATAATCCTATTTTTAAAATTATATTGATGAAATACAGGCAAAGTTTGTTTTATAAAATGTAAATATTTGTCACAGTATATAACAAATCTTAGTTTTATTTTAAATCAAAATTGAATACATGTTCAAGACAATTTATTTAAAAATTTTATGAGATTGCTTTAACTTCCAATAGAAAAATAATTTTAAAATTTCAGCCAAGTAATACATCTTATTTATAAAAATACAGACAGGAAATTAGAGAAAACTCTAGTTTTGCCAATAGAAAAAACATTTTGCATTGAATAAAAGTTCTTTGAAATCCAATCTGTGCCTCTGACATGAAGTGATTAGATCCAAATTCTTGCTTTTATTTTGAGAGAGAGAGAAAGCAGGCACAAATGGGGGAGGGGAGGAGAGAAGAGGAGAGACAGAATCCCAAGCAGACTCCACACTGATGATGGAGCCCAATGCAGGGCTCAATCCCACGACTGGGATCACGACCTTGAGCCGACATCAAGAGCCAGATCTCAACCAACTCAGCCAACCAGGTGTGCCCCCTTGAACTCTTGCCAATATATTTTGTGCCAATTTCCCCAAAGAATTAAGTGATACATGCATATTAAAATACATATTAAAAATAATAATGTATGTACTATTTAAAGTCAATTTACAAAAATAGAAATATACAAATGATTTTTCATTATTATCTTTATATGATTTGTTGAACACCAAAGTTTCCTGAAATTCATTTAAAATATTGATATTACAAGAATGGGTATCACAAAAATTTAGTAAGCCAATGGTTTTACAGATCTGAATTACAACTTATGCATATATAAGCTTATTTATTAATACTCCTGCTCTACCCACTTCCAAACTTACTGATCTCGTTGGCTATTTAAGTCAGAGAGCCTAGAGAACTTTGTAAGCATTACCACATCCTGATGGGTGGGACTAACGCAACTTCAAGGAACTGTTGGATATTTTCTCAGTACTGAGATTCAATAGCCTTGGAGTAGAATCCACAGGGGTTTGGCTAGTCCAATTTGCTAATTCCATCTTACTGTGTGCGTCTGTCTGTCTCTTACTCAACTTTGGATCTAACAATTTATTACCAACCTCCTTGAACAATTTCTTTCCAGAAACATGTTCTTTGTTTACAGCTAATCTTCCTTTAATTTATTTGTAAGCTAAAATTTTAGAGAAATCTCAGGAGACTTCTGCTCAAGCAAAACGAAAATCCAATCAGAGCTGAAGATAATCACTTGAACAACTCAAGCCCAGCAACATGACCAAGGTTCTTCCTGTCACATGTTAAAATGCAGGTCAAAGAAGGCAAGAGAACATCAAAATCTTACAGTAGCACTATTCTTTGTTTTACCTATGATTATCGTAAAGTGGTTTTGATGTCCCTCCTACCACCCCCAAAATTTAAAAAAAAAATACTGCTATAAGATTTCTGGGATAAATTAGCCATCTAGTTGTTATATCAAACCTTAACTGGATAAAATTTTACAAGGGCATTCCATTTATAGCATTTCATGTAAACATCCAAAAGCCTATGACAAGCCAAGTCTTACAGAACTTTTACAGAAAAGGAATATTATTTCATTATAATTAGAATGATGTGAAAGTCCACACACAAATGAGAAAAATGGGCTAAATGCTAAACAACCTTGGCCACTGGGCCCATTCTGCTCTCCTTTATAGATACGAGATAGTTCTGTTCTGGAGCTCCTGGAGAGCAGGGAATAAGAAGCAGAATTATATGATGGCCAAGAATAGGTTCTAAAGTCAGTACTGCTTGGATCTGAGCCCAAATCTACCAATTTACTGTGTTACCTTGAGCAGTTTTTATATTCCATTTTCTTATCTATAACATGAGGATATGAACAATATTTAGCTCATGTGGTTACTATGAAAATCAAATGAAGTAATATATGTGGTAAAGCATTTGAATAATAATGCCTGACCCAAGTTAGGACTCCATAGACTCTGGCTATAAATTATTAGTATTCATCTATGTATTTACATATCATGATGCCTTGCATAGAGCAGGTGATCAACAAATGTGTTAAACACTACCCAAGTTTTCAGGCATAAAATTACTTTGATTCATGATCTTCATCTGCTAACCTAATAGAGCTATGTCAAGCTATTATGGCAAATAATTAAGAGACTGGATCATAAGAAAGATAAAGAGAAACTAAGGTGAAGACAGTCATAGTAGGAATTTCAGCCAAATGAGGATCTTGAGAGATTATATAGGTCACTTGTGTAGTCCACTGGCTAGCTACTTTGCAGTTTACCTACGAATAAAGACATGGCTGCCCTACCTTCAGTAAGACTAAACTCTGGAGACGGTTTAGAGAAGGATTTAGTTATTTTTAAAAACTGAAATGAAGCTTAGTCTAAAAATGATTTAGACTCTATTCTGTACTCAAGGGGAGATGCCATCAATGTCTAGGCATCTCTGAAGTAGACTTTTAAAACTTGAGATTTTGAATAATGCCAACATTAGACACTGCCTTGAAATTCAGTAGGTATCTACAAACAAATCTAGCCCCAGGCTCCGAGCCTGGCAGAGTAGAATGATTAAATTTTTAGCCTAGTGATCACTTGACTCTATGAGTCATGATATGAGAGTGTGAATTCTTCTAGTATTATAGTCTTAGGATTCCTACTAGTAATAACATAGTAAGTCTGTAAAAACTTCTGCAATTATGAAGATGTTTACAATTACTTATAAACCTATACTAATATGATATTATTTTTATATACTTAATAGTAAGTTAAAGATTATATCCTCGCAGGAGTGCCTGGGTGGCTCAGTCGGTTAAGCACCGACTTCAGCTTAGGTCATGATCTCATGGTTTGTGAGTTCAAGTTCTGTGCTAACAGTTCAGAGCCTGGAGCTTGCTTCGGATTCTATGTCTCCCTCTCTCAGCCCTCCCCCACTTGTGCTCTGTCTCTGTCTCTCAAAAATGAATACATGTAAAAAAAAAAAAAATTAAGGTTATACCCTCACAGACTTTTAGTCTTTTATTTCAGTGTCTATAAAATACAATCAAGTAAGAAAAGAATGCTTCCACTTACAATGCCAAGCCCTGTTCTCCCCTACTTCTCCCAAAAGCCATCTAATCTAAAAAATAAGCTCAGTGTTTCGGGCGGCTGGGCAGTTCAGTAGGTTAAGCATCCAACTCTTGATTTTAGCTCAGGTCATGCATGATCTCACAATTCATGAGTTTGAGCCCAAATCAGGCTCTGCGCTGATATTATGGGGCATGACTGGGATTCTGTCTCTCTCCCTCTCTCTCTCTCTCTGCTGCTCTCCTGCTTGTGTACTCTTTCTCTCTTTCAAAATGCATAAACACTTAAAAAATAAATAAAAACAAGCTCAGTTTTCAATTTTATCAGCAGAGTGAATAGTTATTAAGTTGTAAGTCTATAGATAAATTGTAGGAAAGACTGACAATGAACTCGAAATTTTAATTTCAATAGATTCCCAAAATATTAAATATTATTCTCTAATGCTTTCTTTCTTTGAACTAGAAATGAAACATTATAATGCTTATCCTTTTAAAAAATATTTTTATTTATTTATTTAAGAAAGCAAGAGAGCTCAAGTGGGAGGAAGGGAAGAGAGACAGAGAGAGAGAGACAGAGAGAGAGAGAATTTGAAGCAGATTCCACACCAAGCATGGAGCCTGATGCAGGGCTTGATCCTAGGAACCATGAGATCATGACCTGAGCCAAAATCAAGACAGCCACCCAGGTGCCCTTGGTACATATCTTATGGCAAGTCCATTTAACCTTCCTTGTCTCAGTTTCTTCACTTGTAAAATATGAATATAATATCACTTACCTTATACAATTGTTAAGAATTAGATAATCTACGTAATAATTTATGTAAAATACAGTGTCCAGCATATAGGATTAAGTGCTAAATAAATGTTAATTATTAAGATTTTTATTATTATTTTTCTGTTAAGGTTTGCTCAAAATACTGCAAAAGTTTTTTCACTACAATTATGGCAAAGCTGCTGGAACTGGGGGTTGGGGGATATCTGATTCTGTTTATGATTAAAAGGCAGATCCGTATAGCTGCTACACATTATTTATTTTTAAGATATAAGCTCTTAAAGACAGACTACAGGGGAACAGGGGAAAGAAATTAATGTAACCCTATCCTAAGCCTTTTTATATCACAAGTGATCTAAAGTAAACTTCAAAAAATATACCATTAAAGAATGTTAGAGGAATTTTAAATATATAAAAAAAGAATGAGAGCAAAAAGAATATAAATGAGGTAATGGAAAATGCAGATGTAATTTTGGCTAAAGAGAAAGCCAGGGCTAGCTGCCATTTGGTCAGAGCTCATTCCTGGGATTCAAACAAAAATGACCGAACATACTTTATGGCTGTTTTAGAATACAATATATAATCTAGTGAGAAGAATAAGGTAAAGTGCTCCATGTTGTATATTATCTACAAATCAAACCGAAGAAAGAAACGAGAATAAAAGTCTTAAAATATCAAAATCCAATGACATTTATTTATTAGACTTTTAAAAAATGTTTATTTACTTTTGAAGGAGAGAGAGACAGAGCATCAGCTGGGGAGGGGCAGAGAGAGGGAAACACACAATCAGAAGCAGGCTCCAGGCTCTGAGCTGTCAGCACAGAGCCTGATGCAGAGCCTGAACTCAAGATCTGTGAGATCATGACCTGAACCAATGTCAGATGCTTAACCGACTTGAGCCACCCAGGCACCCTGACCATTAGACACTTTAGAGACCAGTGTCAGTCTTTTATACATTTAAGCAAGTAAAACTCTAAAAAGGGGAAAGGGAAAATCTACAGACAGCTTTGGATTTTGTCAAAGTTATCTGAATAAAAATGTGAATACAAACCTAGTATTTCTGAAAACATTTATACATGTTAGTAGAAATTTCTAAAACTAAAGTAAAATAAAGAACTGTATCCTATTAAAAGATGAGGATATGTAAAGACTAT